AGATGTGTCTTTAATCTAGATTTAAACAGAGATAGTGTGTCTGAACCCCGAACGTTATCAGGAAGGCTATTCCAGAGTTTGGGAGCCAAATATGAAAAAGCTCTACCTCCTTTAGTGGACTTTGCTATCCTAGGAACTACCAAGACTCCCATTTAGGGCCTTAAAAGTAAGTAGTAATATTTTGTAACTGATACATTACAAAATGTAACTGATACAGATTATTGAAATATTGCAGAATGAAGTAGATTACACATGCTTGAGGAAATCAAGGAAGGGTTGCCATACAGCTTGGTATCAACAACGTAGTTTGGGCTCAAATAAAAGTATACCTTCCAATCGTATAACATGGAACAGCTCAAACAACCAGGTTTTGAAGAAAGGAGCATCTGAAAATTTCCCATTTAAGAGTATTTTCTTTTTTGCAAGGGCCATACCCAGCAACAATAATTGCTGTTGAGAGCTTGAGAAAGTGTTCAGTACCTCAGAAATCCCCAAAATCGCTAGAACGGGATCAGGCTTTGCAACCTTTTGAAAAACAGTCAAAAATGCCACTCCAAAATCAAACAGACTAGGACAAAACCAGAACAGATGTCGCTCTGTCACTTTATGTGTTTCACATATTGGAGAAAATATAGCATTGTATATGTATTATTTAGTATAAAACATATACAATGCTATATAACTTTGGAATAATACCTGTTATAAAAACAAAACAAAACAAGTGGGCTCCCCCAAAGTCCACGTTATAGTTCGAACACTGATTGGATCCTACTAAGACGTTCATTCCATGTTTCATCAGATGGGTCTACACCAAGATCCTTGGCCCAAGCTTCTTTAAAGTGGCTTGTGTTCACAGTCATCAGGAAGGCATTAACAAATCAAATGTCTAGAGGTTGGATTTGACATAACGCATTCATCAAATTGATTCATCTTTGGCTTACTAACTAATTGTGGAATGATTTTAAAAATTCAGTTTAAATGCTTAGGATTCTTTGTAATCTCTAGGCCAAGATAAGTGAAGTGATCCTTAACTATTTTGAAAGGCAAAAAACTAAACTTATTAGGATGTATATGCTTAGAAAGTGACATAAATTCACTTTTTGACCCATTAATGGTATAAACGGCTATCTTGCCAAATGCGTTAACATAGATAAGCAAATGAGGGACTGATTTGAGTGGATCAAGTCAAGTCACCATTATTTATATAGCACGTTTTACAATGCAGATTGTGTCAAAGCAGCTTTACAGTATTAAACAGGCAAATAGTGTATCGAAATAGTGTGACGTTCTCCTCTGGCCAGACGAAACCAGCAGTTTAATTCTAGGTTGCAACAAAGTCAGATTGTGCAGAGGACTCAACTGGTTCCTGTGGTCTTGTCCTGATCACCATCTTGGTGACAAGGTCTTCACTGGGGATCTGTCTCTGGGGCTCATCTAGTTGTCCTGATCTCTGCTGACATTCAGGGCTGTAGAGGTCATCTCTAGGTGCTGATCCACCATCTGGTAGAAACAGACTAATATTAGCGTAGATGCCATTCTTCTAAGGATGTAACAAGTACATCGGGTGTTATGGGAAGTGTTCCCAGTTCCGGTTAACCTAATTAATGTAGCCTAACAATCCTTTAACGGATTTGAATATTAGAAATGTGTTAGTGTGTTATGTGTAAGGCAGGTTAAAGAGATGGGCTTTTAATCTAGATTTAAACTGACAGAGTGTGTCGGAATTTCATTCCGATCGAGCTCAGTCGGATCAATTAAGGTGTTTTCAGTCCGATTGAGCCGTCAATCTGATTACAAACGGAGTATTTGGTTGCATGTAAACGTAGCCAGTATTAGGTAGATTGTTCCTGAGTTTGGGAGCTAAATAGGAGAAGGATCTGCCGCTCGCAGTTGATTTTGATATTCTAGGTATTATCAAATGGCCAGAGTTTTGCGATCGTAGCGGACATGACTATAATGCAATAAGAGCTCGTTCAAATACTGAGGTGCTAAACCATTCAGGGCTTTGTGTCTGCCTCCCGAACAATGTTAGGTAGGTTATTCCAGAGTTTGGGCGCTAAATAGGAAAAGGATCTGCCGCCCGCAGTTGATTTTGATATTCTAGGTATTATCAAATGGCCAGAGTTTTGAGATCGCAGCGAGCGTGAAGGACTATAATGCAATATGAGCTCACTCAAATACTGAGGTGCTAAACCATTCAGGGCTTTATAAGTAATTAGCGAGATTTTAAAATCTATATGATGTTTAATAGGGAACCAGTGCAGTGTTAACAGAACCGGGCTAATATGTGCACACAGCTGTCATCAATCACACATTCACTATATAACACTCACTAAAACAACCATTCTCTGCCGAGTATTGTTTAGCCTGTACCCTATTCCGAGTCTCTGTCTTGCCTTGCCTTGCCTTCTTGTTTTTGACCATGGACTGTTTATTGGATTGCTCTTCTGTCTCGCCCTGGATTGTACCTGTTTGCTGGTGTTTGACCCTGCCTGTTTTGACCACTCTTAGGAATAAAAGCCTTGCATATGGATCCGCACGTCTCCCGTCTTTTTCGTCCCGTTACACGTGCAGAACAACCACCCAATAAAGCGTTACAATAATCTAACCTTGAGCTCATGAATGCATGAATTAACATTTCTGCATTTGACATTGAGAGAATAGGTCATAATTTAGACATATTTTTGAGATGGAAAAATTTGGTTTTACAAATGCTAGAAACATGGCTTTCGAAGGAAAGATTGCTATCAAATAGCACACCTAGGTTCCTAACTGATGACGAAGAATTGACAGAGCAGCCATCAAGTGTTAGACAGTGTTCTAGGTCATTGCAGGTCATTGCAAATTGGTATGTTTCGTCGGACCGCAAAGAAATATAGAGTATCATGAGCATAACAGTGAAAGCTAACACCATGTTTCCTGATGAGATCTCCCAAGGGTAATATGTAAAGCGTGAAAAGTAACGGTCCTAGTACTGAAACCCAACCTCTGAGAAATACTGAAGATTTTGCTATAAAGTGTAGACACACTTCCCTCTTTACCTTTTAGACATGGCTCATGTTTATAACAGTAATCTTGACGGGGGGGCGGGGGGTTGGTTGTTGAACCCAACAGCTGGGTCAAAACAACCCAATAGCTGGGTTTGTCCCTTTTTAACCCAGCGCTGGGTTATATTTAACCCAGCATTTTTTAGCGTGTAGAAAATACTGAATTTTTACCTACTAGCTTCCGAACTTAAACCGCTCAAATACCAAAAACATATTTGGTCAAAATGATTCAGCCTCTTTACCAGATCCCATTCATCCAGTGTCCATGTGGTATCCAAAACCAGTTAACATTGCATTTTGTTGTAACCTGTCTTCTATGAGCCACAAGGCAGAATTCAGGAAATGAAGTGATGGTAAAAAAAAAAATGCATGGGAAGGTTCAAAACACATATTAAAAATTCTAAGATCCTTTGAGTGTAAAATTATTTTTAAAATTTATTTTAGAGCTTCCTGATTTTTCTTGATTTATATTTGTATATCACACTTATCTTCATGACTTTGTTTTGTGTAAACCACAATATAAACTTGCTAAATGCTGGAAATGCAAAAATCGCATTATGTGGGAACCCTTAAAATATTCAAAAAATTATACATATAGAAAAAGCACATTAAACATCATTATTTTAAATACGAGTGTATTGTAAAAACGTACAGTAGCTACATGTCATTAGAAAATAAACCCAGAAAATACCCTGATTGACAAACCAGTAAAAACAAAAGAAAATGTACATCACCAGTCACAGTACAGAGCACAAATAAAATTCTTAAAGACCCCCTGTGCCAAAAAAAATCACATTTTTAACTCTGTTTACATGTCTGTGTGATGCTTTTAATATGCTTAAAGACAAACCATGTGCAAATTTAGCTTTCATCTGAACATTTTCTCCTTAAAACTGAGGTGTACCAAAGATAGTCTCAAAAATGCGATTTGAGAACGCTGTTATACGTCACAAACATAAATAATCCCGTCAACGCTTTTGCAGTGTTGAGTAATGTAGCCAGTCATCGATATATCTGTTGATTTCTTGAACGGAATGGCCAATCAGAGGTGTTTAAGATGGTCAGAATGATGGAATTAGTGACTGCACATTGAGAAAAACATTAAAGTTGATCTTCAGTGGCAGTGTCCAATGATTTTGTCTTCCTAATAATTATCAAGGGTTGTTGGAAGTGTCATGGTTTGGTTTTCCAGCATTGAACAGCGTTCAAACTCCCCACAGCCAATCAGATGCGAAGATCTTTATTTACGGGCGGAGTCATAATTGGCCGCAAACCAATCACACGTCTCCTTGACGGCTGAAAAAAAAGAAAAGTTTCAATAAAAATTCTTGTTTTGGGTCACTACTTTTTACTACTATTAAAAACATGGCATAAATGCTGAATCTCTTGTGCTGATCACCTTGTTTGAACGGCGTGAACTTGAAGTCTGGCAGGTATTTGCGTAGTTTGGCATTATTGGCGGTTTTCTTGATCTGACCGTCTGATTTGCTAGTGTCATACTGAGAGCGCTTAGTTAAGGTTCATCTGTAAGTCTGTGTGAACGAATGCTTTGAGGTTTAGTTCATTCGTGGACTACTTTTATATTGCTTTTTGAAGCTCAACAGCTTAAGAACAATCTGGAAATTCTACAGAATATCTCATCTTGTGTTGCACAGAAGGAAGACTCTTATCAACTGTAAAAATATCTGCAGACACTGTTTGTGTGTGAAAGGATACAATAACTTCCCCTTCGAACCCGAATGCTTCGGCCACAGCGTCCACAGCGTCCTTTACAGTCAACTCATCCTCCTCCCCGACTAGACAAAGAAACGAAGAAAAAGAGAAACATGATCTTGATATCTGATCAACCAATGAGCTCTGATGAAACAGACCCAACACGTGTGATATCAAACACAGCTGGAGTACCTGACAGAATGATGGGCTCCACCTCGTCGTACTCCCTCAGAACCCACAGAAACAGACGAGCCAGATCCAGAGAATAGATGAACTGCCGCAGAGCGCGACCCGAACCCCAGACCTGCAGAGGTTTACCTTCCTCTACGACACAAACACGCAACATTTACCCTGTGAACATGTGAGACGCTCTGAATGTGATTGTGAGTTAAACGTGTCTCACTCTTCGCCAGGTACGTCTTGTGGATCAACCCCGGCATCACGTGACCGTCCTCAATGTTGTAGTTGTCATGGGGTCCAAACATGTTGGTGGGGATGACGGCTGTGTATTTCAAACCATACTGCTGAAATAATGCCCTAATCGACAAACACACACAAGACAAGGTAAACAAATAAAATACATTTTTATGGTTTAATTATCAGCTTTTTAGCAACTCACAAACCCACCGCAGTTCTTACATTAAGCCCAGGAAACCCTGGTGTAATAATTTTTAATGCATTTAATAAAAAAATGCAGTATGTTTTCTTTCTCTTTGCTTTTTTATATCAAGATGGTATGTTAAATTTTAAATCAAACTTATTTAAAATTTACAAAAGTAATCTAAAAGTAGTCAGATTACATTACCTAAAACAAGTAACCTGGATTATGTTACAATTTTCATCACATAACCAGTAACAGACTACAATTTGTAAGTAATCTACCCAGCTCTGGTAACAAAGCACAAAGGTTATTGTGAATGTTTAATGAATGTTTTATTTACGCATTAACTGCAAAAAAAAAAAAAATGCACAGAATAGCTATTTAGCTTGCAAGCAAGTAATACACCTGAAGTAGTTAATATGTAAAAATCATTCAACAATAATCATTTTCCAAATCCTGTTTGTATATCAAATCTGTCCAGATGTCTGCTTTCATTTAGTGATTTAAATACTGCAGCAGGTGATGTATACGTATGCAAGTGCCCAAAACTTCCAGTTTGTTCACATATCTTTGTTTTGTCTTGCCAGAGGTGATTTAAATATTCATTGTTTGAAACAGATGGAAAATGACAGGCCTGTACTGCAGTTCTATGGATGTTTTGCCCTCCAGGGAAGTTATTATGAACGTAAACTATGAATTGTTAAACAACAAACAAACAATAAACCTAATGCCACTTGTCTTATTAAATATTCACATGCTTTGTACAATCACAGAAACTGTATGTGCTGTGTTCGGTTTGGGGGGAAAAACTGAATACTAAAAACGCCATTGTTTTGGCTGAAAGAGAAAAAGGCCAAAAATGTGAGCCAAAATTCCAATATGCCTAAATTCAAAATAAAAATGTGACTTTACTTGAAAATGTGATCTGTTTAGCATCGTACGTAACAGACAGCCTTGCGTCATATTGCTGAAACGGTCTCGACCAAACAATACCAGTACATGTAAGCTGCGTTTTGGTTTGTAGCTTCATCAAACATTAGTAAACCATAGTAGATCACATAGATTTATTTACAGCAAGTGTTCTTTACTCAAACGAGCCCAAACATAACACCACGTCTAGATCTTGAGATAATCCTCATAGAGTTGCATTTTTTGCTCTAGGTAAACAGGACATCCAGGATCCGATCGCATGATATTGCAATGTTTTCCAACACAATTTGAAAGCATTGGGAAGTAGTGATGGGTCGTTCTTGAACGATTCGTTCATTTTGAACGTTCATTTTGAACGAATCTTTAATGTGACTCGGGAAGAACGAGTCGTCTCGGGGAGTCGCGCATGCGCAACATCCTATAGGTTCTGCACTGGAATTAGTCAAGTAGTTCACCTGTTTCGAGTCTTCGGGTTTTTCGAGTCGTTCGTTCATCACGTGACAGACCCATAAGCTTAACCAATGCAGTCTGAGCCGGAAAGAGACTTAATAATAATAACCAACTCTTTTTACCCCTTCACCTACCCCTGATCAGACATGAAAATATGTTGTGGCACTATCATGCAGTCAGTAATGATTTAATGTTAGCGATTTTTTTGCAAACATTTCTTTGAGTAACACACTGTAAAAAATGACCGTGAATTTAGCAGTAAACGACTGTAAAAATGCTACAATAAAAACCTGTTAAATGGTTAACGGTAAATTCCCCTACTATATACGGTGAAAAACTGTATTGGACATTACATGTAATTTTACGGTAGTATACCGTTTTTGGAAGTGAAAAAGACCATATAATTTACAGTGAATAACCGTAACATTGCCGTAACCGTAAAACCTAAAATGTTGCTACCGTATTTTTTACGGTAAAATTCCGGCAACCACAGCTGCTGGTTTTTTACCGTAGATTTTACGGATTTTTTTTTTTTACAGTGCATGACCGTAAATATGAAAACACAATTTAATTTAACATAAAACAAATGATTACCTTAAATTAAAATCTTTATTAATGCCAAAAATGCTTACATTTATGGGTCTTTTTGTTCACTCGAGCAGCCATGTTGCCAGTGTAGCCGGTTTATGCTGAGATAATTCTCATATCCCTTCGTTTGAAGTGTGGTCCCCGAAAAAATCTTCGTTTGAAGGGCTATCTGGCCCTTTCCCCTCCACAGAGGTAGAAATGATACTAATAAAGTCTAATAAAAGTAAATAAACTTGCTACTTAAGGAAATTTATTTTAATATAAAATGTGATTTTTATCTACTAGCAAGTTCATTATATTTAGTAGACTGAATAGAGTAAATTACATTTGTATCACTTGAACCTTGGCAAATTGACTGCCAGTCACCGAGCGGTAACCATTAACAAAGCTTATTGACCATTTAAATCCTTATCATCCAACATAATGCCAGTTAGGCTTTCCAAGTAATGTAAATCAATATTGCAAGTTCATTATATTTAGTAGACTGAATAGAGTAAATTACATTTGTATCACTTGAACCTTGGCAAATTGACTGCCAGTCACCGAGCAGGTAAACATTAACAAAGCTTATTGACCATTTAAATCCTTATCATCCAACATAATGCCAGTTAGGCTTTCTAAGTAATGTAAATCAATATTTACATAGTATAACGATAGTAAATATATCTCTCTCACACTTGTCCCGCACTGTTAGCAAATCTATCACACCTACTGACCTGCAACAGAGCAGTAACCAGATGGTCACCCTAGTAACTGATGTGCAAGATCAAGACAAGACTATTTAAACAGGTCGTGTGAATGTATAATGTGAAACCTAGAAACCTGAATACCCGGTATCACGGTCTGGCACCAACAGCCCAGATGTCAAACTACAGCCATGCAGACAAAAGCATGATGACAGTATTTTCTTTAGAAATGTAATCCAGACATGTTTTCATGAGAATCACCCCCCAAAAAAACAGCTCAAAACCAGTGACACTAAGAGAGCAGAACTGACCTGTTGTGGACGTCAATCATGCGTTTGGCGTACGCATAACCGTAATTAGACTCATGCGGGGCACCGTTGTGCATCTGACACACAGAAAGGGAGAAACACAAGGGTATTTTACACAATTCATGCAAACAGGCTCATGAAACCAATCATACATCCACTTACTTCAGTTTCTCATATCATGCATTTTAAATAGCTATTAGGTCCAATTTTTTAATGACAATTCTTCACTCTCTCTCTGCTGTTTGGGGATGATTGTATCTATCTATTCCTCATAACCTCACTGTGATGTGAGTTTGTGAACAGCAAGCAAGCATTTTTGACACGTTAATGTGGGCGGTAATGTATCCTAATGTTCTTTAGGACAAAAATTCATTTTTACAGCTTAGTTTCAGTTAAATTAAGGAAATTTGAGATGAATGAATGGATTTCAAAAGATCAAGGAACATGACTCATGACTCGTTGTGTGAGCACTTTAAGGGAACAGTAAACACATACTGTCTGGAACATCTGCCATTTAGTGTGTGTGTGTGTGTGTGTGTGTGTGTGTGTGTGTGTGTGCTTTACCACGGTCTCATCTATAGGGTAGGTGGTTTTATCTGGAAAAACACACGTAGACAGACAAGAAACGACCTTCACCACCCCGAACTCCTGAGACGTGTGCAGCACGTTGTCATTGATGTGCAAATTATTCCTCTGAAAGCAAGAAGCCCATACAATCAATATACGGTCAGTGCAATCATTTAACAGTGATATTTCCAACCTTGTCATTTAATGTTAATAATTACCCAGAAGTCCAGGTTCTGTCTCATGTTTCTGTAGAGTCCTCCCACCATGGCGGCCAAATGAATAACGTGTGTCGGACGATGTCTCTCGAAGGCTGCTCTCGTCTCTTCAGCGCTCCTAAAGCAGCACGTGTAAATATATTTACCATTGTGACACAAATAAAAGCACTTAAGTTGGAGCTTCTTCTTTGTCTAAATTCCAGCTCTGCCCCTTCTGGACATTTATTAACCAACTTCATGAGCTGAAGTGCTACTAGCCAAGTAAGAACATTAATGATTAGTGAAAAAATCTTGTGAAGCACTGCAAATAATCAAATTAAAATGATGGATGAATATAAAACTATTTATATAAAGATGTTGGTTGTATATATAGAAACAACATATCCTACATTCGTTGCAAAATATTCATATTTACACAGATATTTCAAATTCAGAGCATAGGGTGACTGACTCAATGCCATTCTAGGTGCTTCATGGCAGAGGGCGGAGCTCTTTTGGTGTGATTTGCTTCTTGCGATTCTCTGATTAATGTAAAGTTCTTATTGAATGCTTACATTATGTATAAAATGCATGTTATACAATATGTGCTATGGCATATTTTAATGATTGTGTTATGTGTGTGACGTCTGATGAGTGTTTCTTACACAAGATTGGTCTCTTTGGATGACAGGAATATCCATGTCACGGGAACGGCCCGACTGACCCGTTCATCTGACAGACAGAGAGAGAGAGAGAGAGAGAGATGGGGTTTGATGAACACTTCAGGGGTTAAAACACATGTGAAAACAGGAACTACTGTAATAATCAAGAATTTGTCTAAACAGGGCCTCCTTTCTGACACAATGTATATGTGACCCTGGAGCACAAAACCAGTCATAAGGGTCAATTTTTTGAAATTGAGATGTATACATCATCTATTGTTGGCTATTGCTACAAATATACCCCAGCGACTTAAGACTGCTTTTGTGCTCCAGGGACACATATGATTGATGGTGCCAAACTCCTTAAATTTCGATACCAAAGTAAAAACTAACAGCCTAATATGTAAAAAGTTTACAAGCAATTATTTGGTCAGTAAAATCAATAATATAATAAAAACAAATAAGCAAATTACAAGAAATGGTGGCAAATAAACAAAATAGAACAAATACACAAACAAAATAAACAGGGCATTTTTCAAGTAGAAATATTAGTAAGTTAGTATTCAATACTATACATAAATTGCGGCGGGTGTATTTTAGGCTGCTGTCACTTTAAGACCCAATCACGGATCCAAAATCTGGAATCTGAGGGTGCAAAAAATCAAAATATTGAAAAAAATCACCTTTAAAGTTGTCCAAATGAAGTTCTTAGCAATGCATATTACTAATCAAAAATTAAGTTTTGATATATTTACAAACAAAATAGAACAAATATACAAATGAAATAAACGGTATTTTTCAAGTAGGAATATTAGTAAGTTAGTATTCAATACTATACATAAATTGCGGCGGGTGTATTTTAGGCTGCTGTCACTTTAAGACCCAATCACGGATCCAGTATTCAGATACATACGATTAACTAATTAAAGCGAGAAGCTGCGGTGTACAGTGATTTTACAACAGCTAATGGGTTGTTAAAGAACAAAAGGTTGCTGTTCTAAAAATTGTTAACCACGGTTTCATGTGGCTTATTGCTTTTATAAAACGGTTACTACATGGACAGGTAAATAAACAGAGCAACAAAAATTATATAATTTATTGATAGTAAGAAATGAAGTTGTGGTGCAATATTTTTGGCGAAATTTCATGAGGTCCGTTATCGATAAAAAGGTACACTGTCATGATGAACATGAGTGAAAAATGCGCGGGTGTTCATGTTTAAAAAAAAAAAAACAGCTCAGAGAGAGGTTCTCATTTTCTTTTGTCAAGCCTTGAAGGACTGCACAGTATGTAACTCCTAAGACTTGAGACTCGTCAGACCAGATGATAAGCAACAGCTCAGGTACATGTTTTAAACATTTTAAAAATGGCACAGAAATGCAAAAAGCAACAAAACTGTACAACAAACCCACCTAGTGCATGCTCACGTAGGAAAACAATTGAGAGCAGCGCGAGTAGACACAATAACACTTTGGTTTAACCAACACTGGTTTAACAGACAGACTAAACCAGGATTAGGTCATAGATCAATTAGGACATTTAGTCATTTTTATAAACGCACCTTAGATTCATGTTTAAAAAAAAAAAAACAGCTCAGAGAGAGGTTCTCATTTTCTTTTGTCAAGCCTTGAAGGACTGCACAGTATGTAACTCCTAAGACTTGAGACTCGTCAGACCAGATGATAAGCAACAGCTCAGGTACATGTTTTAAACATTTTAAAAATGGCACAGAAATGCAAAAAGCAACAAAACTGTACAACAAACCCACCTAGTGCATGTTCACATAGGAAAACAATTGAGAGCAGCGCGAGTAGACACAATAACACTTTGGTTTAACCAACACTGGTTTAACAGACAGACTAAACCAGGATTAGGTCATAGATCAATTAGGACATTTAGTCATTTTTATAAACGCACCTTAGAAAAAAAAAACATTACTGGCATGCATCTTGAGACCAAACAAAGGCACTGATATACTGTATTTAAGATCAGTCAGTGCAAGTTTCTTTCAGATGAAACAGCTCAGACTTACATTTTAGTCTAGGACTAAGCCTTGTCTGTGAAACCGGGGGTTCAAGTGTGAATGGACTCTTATTCACATGACATAGCTTGATCTTATCCGTTACCTCTCAGAAAGTAGCCTTTTGTTTCAGTTGTTTATTGGTGAAATATCCACTTCGTCCAGCGCTGCTGCTTCTCTGTGTTCTTGAGGATCTCGATACCGTCTGTTTTACTGACCGAGAAACCGCTTCAGGTGATTCATCGGGAGAGTGGGCAAACGAATGCGAATGGACTGTGCAAACCCGCTTGGCCAGTTTAGTGAAAAGAAAAGGCCGACTCAAATGATTAATTCATAATTAATGGCATGGTTGGTTCAGTCGACAGAAATAGGCTACGGGTTAAAAATGATACCAGGGGAAACTTTTATTAAGTTGGAACCTGATTGAAATTATTGTAGCGGTGACTTCCGTCTTTATTCAGCAATGTTTAGCAGAATGATTGCTTGGCAACACAGAAAGCATACTTGGCACAGTATAAGCTAATACTGATTTAACGATGTCCAGGTGTGTTTTTTCACACCGGCACTGAAGGTGGCTCAGCAACTGGAATATGCATTTTACTATGCGCTTTTCATGATCATCAAGCACGCCACGCTCGTTCATCCATGTTTCTTCATCGCTCTTACATGTTAATAACATAGTCAGTACCAGGATATAACCACATGCTCTTGTCGCGCTCTAGCGCCCCCTGGGGAGACCCCCTGGTGAATTTCCATTCAAAACAAAACCATGGAAATGCCATATTTGTTTTGGAAACCACAGTACTGACAAAGATTATATTTTCGCTATCGTACCATAGCACCATTTTTCTACAGGTTCGTATGATCTCAGTAAAAGCAGCTCTTCTGTCTCTTCATGTCTACGGCTCACAATGAAACCAGACAGCTGAACCTGTAAAGCAAGTTTAACAGCTGACACACCCTGTAAGTCAACACGAGAACACATCACTGATGGGTATCAACTTCTGCATTTATGCCAAAAAACACTAGAAATATACTCATGCGGGATTTATACATAACATTCCTTATAATTATTTATTTGTATATCAATGAATGCACAAGTCGCGCAGACTATAAAGGGATACTACTTCACCCAAAAATTTTAATTAAGCAATTCGCTGGCCCTGGTTTTGTTATAATGCCTTATGCCCTTTCTTTATTTTTTGCACCACAAAAGGAGATTTTAAACGCAAAATTACCACAGAATGCGACACGTGCCGTGTGGGGGTACCCGATAGGGTTTGGTGAAAAAGAAACCGAAATTTAGTGTATAATCTAAAGAAAATCCTGACTTTGACCGCTGGTCTCGACGCGTTATTAAGACCCTATTAGCGCCAAAGTTCAGTCGCGAGACTCGCCCAGGTTAAGGTGAATGAAAACACGACATGAAATACAACGCCTAGAAATCCAGTACAAAGAATGAACTTGTTATAAACACTTAAAGCACAAGATAAAAGATTTTATGCAAACAACGGCAACTGCTAGGGTCTAAACGGAACAAACTGTCACATACTCGTGTTTTAGATCTGTTAATATTTGAAGAAAGCAGTAAGTTACCTGCTCTCCGGTGTGTGTGGTCTCTGGCTCGCTGCCTA